AAACTCAGTAAGCAGCCCTCCGCCCAAAATAACTGCCTGTCCCTGGTTTAGACTAAAAGTGGCCAATGGCAAGAAAAGTCTCTACATATGGCTTGCAGCAGACCAGGGAGGGGACAGGCAATATGGCAGCAGACAGAGCAGAAGGCAGAGCAGGAAATTAGGCAGGGGAAGGGGATCAGAGTGGCACTTGGGGATGGCATGGAGCTAATTTGCAGCATGTCTGATAAAAAGGTCAGCCCCCACTGGACTAGACCAAGCACACACAACCCCTGGCCTGCAGGCCGGAGCCATTTCATCTGGCTGGGGGAGCTCTCCCACGATCCAAAAATTTGGTGCGAGGGAACAGTGGCAGCTAATTGCCATTTCCCTGCTATCAAATTTCTGGATCCAGAGTGAGCCCCAGGGGCTGGAGAGCCTGGCCCTGACCCTGGCCCTGACTGGGGCCAGTCAGGGCAGAGCAGCACAGGTCCAAGTAGGATTGAGGGGAGGCGGCATGGGGCCCAATGCTGATACACGGGGCCTGATCTGACCTGTGGACTGGCCCTGTGGGCCAGATGAGCACCGCTGATCTACACTACGCTATCACTGTAAGAAAGTATTAGCAGAAATGGGAGACTCAAGTCTGTGCTTAACTAACAGTGCCCAAGTTAGGAGTCTTGGATAGTTTTAGGCAAAGGTCATATCATATTTGACACAGACTTGTGAAGCACTTCTCAGGTATAAAGGTGATATACAGGAACCAATCAAATACATACTCTTAGCACAGGAAATACAAATCTGCTGCAAAAGAGAAGCATTAGAATAAATGCCAGCTGGAAGCAATTTCCATCAAGTAAAGGTCAGATGCGTATCGAGTTAGGACTGAAGCTGCACAAAGTCAACATGGAAATCTTAACAAGGAACCTAACTTAGCATGTGGCAAATGAAATACAACACACACCTGTGACAGGGGTGCACTCTTACTTCTGCTTAAAACTGTATCACCTGCCTGGTAGTTATTCTCTGTTCCAGATATTTAAACTTGTTTTGTCATAAATTAAAAACACTTTGAACAAAATGTGTTTTGAAGGAGAATTTCACTGCACGAGGGTCTCTGACATACAGATGTTCATTGCCATTGTCTTATTAGAATCTACTGGTCCATGCAGGAAAGCACAGAGGTATATTGGTACATATACCAGAGCTGACCTGTAGTCCACATTAACAATAGCATTGCTGCTTAACAAGTTCAAAACATCTTAGAATGATGAGCAGATAGCAAACATACCTGACAGCATCTTTACTGGAAGCTTTAATGATCTCTGTTGCAGTAGGAACACCTACACGCTTAAATATTATTCCCTGAAATTGAGAAGAAACCATGAATTGCAGATCAAGGTATTTTTTTTCTATGGTACTCAATAGGCTAAATCAGTCAAGTCTGGCTTTAGATGCCTCTATTCCACTTCAAGTGCTGAGTAGGAAAATCTTCTGTTCAGGATTTATTCAACTATAAATAACTTTTATTTCACCTGAAATCTAAAAAAAAAATCATGTTGAGATCTTTGCTAACTTGCAGATACTTGTGCCTAGTCTGCATATTTATACCAGAGATGATAGCAAGGAGAAAGCTTGGATATGTTGTCAGAGTCCAAACCCACAACACAAGGATTATCAATTATTTAAAGAGATGTTACACTGGTCTTAGCCAAAACACCAAGCAATAAGCAGCAGAATGGTTTTCAAATGCTGGATGAAATTGAAAATAAAACAAAAGAAATGGAAAACACAGTATGAGGAAAAAAAGAATTCTTGGATGACATCTGTCTCAAAACTTCTGCTTTTAAATTACAGGATTTAGATATTTTTCCTTTGCACTGATGGATCGATAGATCATAGAGCAAGACATTAAAGATGCTTGGAAAGATGTGCAATATATGCTAAAAAGACAAAGAAAGAATTAAAATTCCATGTTTACCCTTCAACAGTAAAAAACATACAACAGAACAGAAAAAGTAGCCATTGCAGGGATTTCAAATCATCAAACGCAAGCCTTGGTAGATAAGTAAGGTAGAAGAGGATTTTAAAATATTTCATTTTAAACTTAATTATTCATAAAATCTTAAGTACCTTCAACAACAGAATGTACATATGAAGTTTCATGTACAGTAGTGATGGTAAAGTCAGAGTTACTTAATAGAATGAAAAAGAAACAATTGCCAAGCATAGTGTAGCTCAATATATCAAAGCTTTTCAAACACTGATGTTAACATTTTAGGACCCATGTATTCCCAAAATGGATTTGTATGGTTTTAAGCAGACCTACCCTGCAAGCTATCCAAGAATACAAATGCATGCTGTAATGTCAGACACTGTGACTCTATTACGGAAAACAAACCCCAAGAAAACTAACCGCTTTTTGTTCTACATGTCTAAGTTGATCTTCTTCCTTTCGCTGATAGAAACAGATACAAATTCCATTCCGTCCAGCTCGACCTGTGCGCCCAGACCGATGGATGTAGGAGTCCACATCCTTTAAAAATAAGAATAAACATGAAAAAAAAACTTGTCATTTGACCACAGGATTAAATTTGCTAAGAACATAAAAAAAGAAGGTTAAACCAGGGGTGGGCAAAATGCAGCCCGTGGGCCGGATGTGGCCTGCCAGGCCATTCTATCTGGCCCACAGGATCCCTAAAAAATTTAGAAAATTAATATCTGCCCCTGGCTGCCTGTCATGTGGCTCTCAATGGTTTGCCAAAACTCAGTAAGTGGCCCTCCACCCAAAATAATTGCCCGCCCCTGGGTTAAACTCAAGTTCAGAGCCCTGGAAAAATGTAGGAAAAGAGTTATATTCTCTTATATCTTTGAATTCATTCTGAAAACTGAAGGAGAGCTAATATCTAGAGGTTCACCGATACATTGGTCCAATATCAGATCAGCACCAATATAAAAAATATTGAGAGTATCAGAAATTGGCCTGGTGTGGCTGATAACTGCCTGTGCATGGGCACAGCTGCAGCGCAGCACATAGGCAGCAAGGAGCACAACCCAGCAGCTTGAAGAGCTGAATGAAGCTGGTAAGCCTGTTGTGGTGGAAGGGGAGGGAAGGGGTGTGGGGGGGAAGATCAAGGCCCCCACAGTGAGCGAGGGAGTGGGGCTGGGG